GCGGCTCCTTTTGAGCCGGCATCACGTGAGCTCCTAGCTACGTTGAGGATTCTTCTAACAACAACAACATACAGTGTTGAAAGGCGGTGTTCTCAAATTCACCATGCCGCGGCATCATGTTCCCGACTTTGGAGAACGCCGTTTAGAGAATGAGATCCACAACTCAGATCATCGACAGGTTTCCTCAATTCTGTTGCCATTAGGACTTTTTCGGTGTGCAGTCTGGCATGCAATCGTTCTGACAAAGGCCTGCTGCTGAAGTACACAAACGTGTCCCACAGTCCAAACCGTCAATCCAAGATTCCAAAGCCCCAAAGACATTTTCAGCTGAGCTGCCTTCAAGGACACTCATTGCGGATCCGGGCGCTGCGATCTTGGTGGACTTTTTTGATCGTTTAGTTTGATGGCTCGTCTTGAGGCTGCGTTGATCACTAGGCTGATCCGTTCACAAATGCCAGTGTGAAAATTTAGGGACCTGGAGTGAACCTCCCAAATCAGGATGCTGAGTGTATAAGCTCGATTGCTGATTGCAACAGAGCGCGGCCGAAAGGTTGCTCTAGTGGTGTTGCTGCCATCATCGCGAATAAGCGTCTTGCGTGGAGGCTCGTCGTCTCTCGAGCTCTTGCGCGGGGCTGGGGGGGCGGACCCACCACTTGATATATCTTGTTATGCGCCTCCATGGGCCACAGGTGCTGCACAGGCCTTCCGCCCTTCGCTATTTCCCTTTTTTGTGCCTGAAGAACTTCCGATCTCGATCTCTTTGTCTCTCGCCGATCTTCCTTCCTTTCAAACCGTGGGGATGGGTGTGAGCCCTGCCCCTGCCCTCGCGCGATACGTCAGTGTCCTTCGTGTCCCGCGGCATGAAACCAAAGTGTTTTGTGGTATGGCTGGCACTACTGCGATCGGCAGAATGATGAACTAATCATTACTTCGTCCCCGATGCATTAGCCGTTAGCCGCCTCAGTATGCCCAACTGCAGATGCTGCGCACTGCCAGCAGTCTCAGTATCTTTGTCGGTTGCCTTTCATGCTTATGCTAACAGTCACGACTACGATACGGAAAGTACCCAAATGGATCACCTTCTGAATCTTTCTTGCTTGCTCTCTCTCTCTCTCTCTCTCTCTTTCCCACGGGATGCGGGTCGGGGTTTCCCCCCGCCCGCGCGCAGGTGCGCCCGCCCCCCCCCCCCCCGACCTGTTGTGAAGCAGGAGAGACAGGCTGACGAGCTGTGGGTGTCCCATTCTCTCTCTGTCTTTCTTTCGCTAGGGCTAGGACTAGGATGAGGAGGAAATCCCTCCCCATCGCGCGCGTTAGCGCACCCGACCATTGTGGGGCGATTGGTGAATTCGCGAACTCCACCAAGGTAAGGGCTCCAGTTGAGGGGGCGTCACATGAACCAGAAGGGAAATTGCAAACGAAAAGGACTCACTAGCAGCAGCATGCACGGAATGCCTTGTTCGAGGGTAGTCTCCGGTATGTGGAGTCGTTTCTTGCATGTGTGTCAGGGGCCGAACCATAGTCAAGAGTGTAGCGGATGCAGCTTTGCAGAGCGTGAATTTCATCGCAAGGTTGACATTTGACGGTCCAGCTGGATCTTGAACTTCATATAAAAGGTTTAAAACCTTGGGCAAACAAACACAGGCTCGGGTATGACGATGAAGCCATAGAAGACCGAACCGAAGCAACAAAGAAGCCTGAGCAGCCCTGCAAAAGGTGTTTGGGAGGGATCTCCTCAATGCATGTCATGGTTGTTAGGAGCGGAGAATTCGACATGGCAGGAAGCAAGACGAAAAGACTGTAGCCGCAGATCACAGAGCTCCCAGAGCTCCTTTCAAGCTCCTTCTGTCTCTCTGTCGCTTCTTCCCTTCATCTTCAGCACAGACCTTAAGGAATGGGCGGGAACTCCTCCCTCTCTCTCGCTCTCGCTCGCTCCACCGCTCACGCCGCTCCGACAGCAGACAGCAACTGACATACACGCTCCGCGTGGAGTTGAAAGCTTTGCAAAGTGGGGAGAGCTTGCATGTTCGAGAATTGGAAAACCTACCTCGAATGTAAACCGCTTAGATGCCTAAACCCCGCTGCCAAAACATCTGTGCGCACCGGGGCTCTGCGACTGCTTCTTGGCTTCGCGATCCTTTGCATCTTTTGCGATCCTCCTTCCCGCTTCTTTTCGCATCTGGAAGGTTTGCAGCCGGTGTCGCATGTACATGTCGAAGCTCAGCTCCTCCGGGTCATAGTTGCCGGGGCCCAGGCGACATCGAAACAGCGCGCTCGACCCGCGAGCTGCGAGATTGGCTCCAGGCCGGAGTGTTGTTGTGCCGGCACATCTGGCCCACGCCGATCTGGGTGCTTCCAAGGCTCAAGGATCCCAATGCCTCGCTGGGGGGCCCCAAGTGTGAGGATAGCAGTGGCTCAGACTGCGGCGAGTCTGGAACTTCGGGTTCCGAGCGTGGTGAAAGGTCGGCGAAAACGAATCCTGGCGACCGTGGCTCGGGCTGCCGGAAACCAAGCCTTCGGCTACTTGGGCTCAGGGTCTGGGGTTCGTGCAGCAGTGGCATGTCTGTCGGGCGTCGGCTCAGGCCAAGCAGATTCACAACGCCTTGTGGGGCCAGATCGACACGAGGCTCACTAGATGCTCTCTGCATTACTATGCTAACGTGCTCTACCTCAACCTCGCTTGGCTGGGCAGTTGGCGCATGCTGGCAAGGTCGATTGGCCGGCGGCTCAAGCCGTGTGAAGCAGGGAGTTGGTGGACTTGGCTGTCCATGCGCCACCTCCTTTGGCATCGGACTCGTTGGATGCCGAATCCAGTGCTCCCTTTCCCCTACACTGCATGGACAGAGAAGGAAGGGCAATGGCAATGGTGGGAGCACGTCAGTTTCCTGAAAGAAGGGCTTGGCTTCTCTTCGTTGATGTGCGTCTGTCGGCCATGCTGGCGGAGGTCCTGGGACGAGCTGTACCCTCGGCTGGCTGCGTGAAGCCGAAGGCTGGCTTGCCACGGCCGGAAGTGAAGGGGGACGCTCCGTGCGCAAAACAACTTGTATTCGCACAGGGTGTGGCCTTGTCTGCTGCTGCTCTGGCCAAGCCATGCTGGGACAAGATGCAGGAGAAGACGCAGGTAGTATGCGGTTCTGTGGATACTGCTGGGACGGCCGTTCTGGCACAATTTCGCTCGACCGCCGGCAAAACCCTGCAAGAGGCAGCTGAGGCAGTTTGGGTGAAGGCTGGGGCTCTCTCTCATGGCGCACAGCTGGTACAGATTGCGGCAAAGGCGACCGTGGCAGCAACCACACCCTCGGACTGACCCGTGGAGCACCTGGGTCAGCCAGTTTCGCAGCTTGTGAGACCATGTGAACCCGTGAACCCTAAACTCCACCGCCCCAAACCCCAAAACTCCCTACAAAACCCTCACATAAGTTCACACCTTTGCTACGCACGGCACCTTGGAAGTCAACAAGCACGACCAGCGGAGCACATGGTGATCTGCATGGGCCCAGCCCCAGCCGGGCAAATACGGGAGCTTGGAGACTTCTCCGGCATCTTCCCTTTCTGTCACAGAGCACTGATGGCCGAGGCTCCTGAATGCCCCCAGGAACGGGGACCACGCGAACGAAACGGCAAAGGCAAAGGCTCAAAATGCTGCACCGACTGCACCAGCTCCGATTTCTACAACAGCCAACAAGCATGCATAGCATGCAAAATGCCACGATAAGGACGCATGTAATGATGAGCAGAAATTGAGCGATGATTTGACTGGGCGTTGGGGCTGCCATGACGACGGCGGTGTACGACGACGTGCTTGAGGTGCTCGTGAAAGTTGTATGCGTCGATGTTGTGTGCGTTGCTGAAACTGTGCTAGAAGATCGGGTGCTGGATGTGCTGGATGTCAGAGTTTGGCTACTCGAGCTCTTGCTTGTTGAAGTGGACGTGCTTGATGTACTGGTGCTAAGCGTGCTCGTAGTTGAGGTGCTGCTGGCGGATGTCGACGAGCTGCTGCTGAGGCTGCTTGAACTGCTGCTCGTGCTTGAGATGCTGCTGGAAGTGGAAGTGTAGCTGGTACTACTGCTGGACCTGGATGTGGTTGCCGTGGATGTCTTTGTCGTGCTGGTGGAACTCGATGTGCTTGATGTACTGGTGCTAAGCGTGCTCGTAGTTGAGGTGCTGCTGGCGGATGTCGACGAGCTGCTGCTGAGGCTGCTTGAACTGCTGCTCGTGCTTGAGATGCTGCTGGAAGTGGAAGTGTGGCTAGTACTGCTGCTGGACCTGGAAGTGGTTGTCGTGGATGTGCTCGTCGTGCTGGTGGAACTGTCTGTGCTTGATGTGCTCGTGCTAGAAGTTACTGTTGAAGAAGTACTACTGGTGGATGTCGATGAGCTGCTGCTGACACTGCTGGAGCTGCTCCTTGTTTGTGATGTGCTGCTGGAACTGAAGGTGAGGCTGGTACTGCTGCTGGAACTGGAAGTGGTCGTCGTGGATGTGCTGGTGCTGGTAGTGGAGCTAGACGTGCTTGACGAGCTTGTGCTGAACGTTGCAGTTGTTGAAGTACTCCTGGTGGATGTCGACGAACTGCTGCTGACGCTGCTTGAGCTGCTTCTTGTGCTTGAAGAGCTGCTCGATGTCGAGGTGTAGCTGCTTGTGCTGCTGCTCGTGCTAGTGGTTGAACTCGAAGTGCTTGATACACTTGTACTAGACGTCGCAGTTGTTGAGGTGCTGCTGATAGACTTCGTGGAGCTGCTGCTGCTACTGCTGGAGCTGGTGCTCGTTCGCGAGGTGCTGCTTGAAGTGGAGGTCTGGCTGCTCGAACTGGACGTGGTGCTTTCGGTGTGTGTCGTCGAGGTCGTGGTGACCCAAAACGACCAGAGGTCTCCGCAGAGGCTTCCGTTATAACCCCCATGAATGTACAGTATTTGGTTGCGGCCGTCCCAAGCAGCCACGTGAGACCACCGCGCCGATGGGCCAGCATGTTCCGCAATCAGACTCCACACGTTTTCCATGGAATCGTATCGCCAGAGGTCACGTCTGAGGAAGCCATCATTCCCACCGTGCAGCCAAAGCAAACGGCTGCTGGCATCCCATACTGCCGTATGGCCCGACCTCGGCGAAGGCCCTCCAGAGAAAGACACTTCTGTCCAAGTGAGCGTGGCTGCACGTAGGGTCCAGAGATCTGCCAGCAGAGCATCACCGTAGCCACCATGCAGCCACATCGCATGTGCTGTGCTATCCCAGACTGCCACATGAGATGAGCGCCCTGACGGTGTGCCGCCGGGTGCTGGTACCAACTCCTGCCATCCGTGGGCATTGGAGTTGTACCTCCACAAGTCCGACAGGTGGCGCGTACCGGTCCAACCACCGTGTACCCAAAGTGCAGCGGTGCTTTCATCCCAGACAGCAACGTGTGCCTCCCTTCCGGAAGGCCCAGCATCATCAAACTCGAGTGTCCACGCACCGGATTGGAGTCTCCATCCATCTCGAAACCAAGCTAAAGTTTGGCTGTTGTACCCACCATGCACCCAAAGTGCTTGACTGGCCGGATCCCAGCCCGCCGCATGTGCAGCGCGAGCTGCCGGCGCCACGGCCGTCACCGTGCGGGTCCATGCTTCGGATGTGGCGTCGAAAGCCCACAAGTCGCCTTCGAGGTTGCTTCCTCCGTGGATCAACAGCACCTGCCTCGCTTCATCCCAGGCTCCAATGTGCTCGGACCGTGCTGCGGGGCGGACAAGGCCGGCGTCCGTCAAGTCCGTCACACGACTCCACTCTCCTCGAGCCATGCCCCAGCAGCAGAGCAACAGCCGGGCCACGGACATGCGGGCATCAGGCTTATTGCCCACCTTGAAATCTGACGGGTATCACTATTTAATTTTGTTGTTGAATGTCGACATGATTTACGTATCCTGTGGTCTACCGTGTTGCGATACACACCTCAGATACCACATCTATCTAGCTTAACATCGCATCTGGCCACCAATCCTTCGGATGAGGCGGCTTTTGAGCCACATCACCAATTGGCGAGTCTGAGTTCTTGTGCAAAGAGACTGATTGCAACATCTTTAGTCCGAAAATACGTGACCACAGCAGCAACCAAGGAGAAGCGACAGTCATCGGTGCTCTCGGCCACCATTATTGAAGCTTTCGAAGAGGCTTTAGGCAAGGTTTGTCTCCAGTCCTTTTCTGTCCGGCATCCAGTTCAGGGTTCCAAACTCAGCTGCTGAAAGGATCAGGGAAAGGCTGGGAGACTCCCGTCTTCGATCGCAGACTTTGAGCCATCGACTGGTCTGCATGGGGGGCGACGTGCAAACCCCGGGTTCCTGACTGGTCTTGCACCAACTTCGAAAGCCTCCAAAGCCTCCGATTTGAGGGCCCAACATCCCAAGCTTTTGCAAACGCTAGGACCCCCAAAGCAACCTAAGCTGCTCTCGGAAGCTTTCGCGTTTCGCCACATACTTCTCTGACTCGCACATGCCTCCCACTCGACGAACTTCATAACTACTTGAACATTGAAAAACCCCCCTGTCCACTTCCTCAAACCCTAATGCCAGTTGCATTTTTTGTCCGGCAGCATCTGTACATGCTAGCTATGCCACAGCATCACAACTCTTCAGGGCTTCGGAGGGATGATTCCTCAGGCGGCGAGCATCGAGGCACATGCTGCTTGACCAGCAGCGATAAATTCAGCGATATGAACTGACAGAAGAAAGAAGACTGCGGATGCGCTTTTGAGCGGAAAGCGTGGAAGAGTTAACACGATAAGGATTCCGGGATCAAAACAAAAATAGGGCAAAAGTCGGGGTCAAAGCGTGGAAGTGATTTCAGACACTTTCAGACGACGGAACTATGACGGAGCTGATTGAATACACTGATGGGTCACTTGGTTCATCAGGGATGCGTGGCTTGACGACGAAAAGGCTTTTGACAGTGCATCCGAACTCTCCATGAAATTGTGTACGCAAGGTCACGCACAGAAACCTCACACGACCACACGAACTCCAGCCGTCATAAGAGCGCACGTACAATACAGCCCTGCGTCCCCCACGAAGAGCTTGGCACCGCACTCCAACGAACCCATGCGGAGATTCACATAACCCATCGCAGACCCCCGCCGCATCTCAGAACACGAAACCCAAAAAGCGCTGAATGGCCTGCTTTCTTAGCTCCTCTCGTGTTTTCTGCAACTCCGAGGGCGTGAAGACCTGCTGCAGTTGACTCAACATATGCATCTCACTCTAAGCTACTCCCGTCGACCGTACGTTCAGTGTCCACACCTCACATGCTGCAGTGCAAGCCGTTGCTAGGTTGCAGTGGTGGTTTTCAAACTTGCTGGTCCGTGTGTGTTTCGTGCCAACGTAGCCCCGACGAGTGGAGGACGAATCCCAGGTGATTCCAAGGTTGCGTGTGGCCACGCCATGCATCATTGTACGACAATTCCGAACCTTTGCAGGAAGCGTCCATCGACAGCTCGAGGTCAAGCACCCTGCCTCTTCTCCAGTCTGTTCCCTCGGAGCGAGTGCCAGGAACGAAGTGCAGTTCCCCCTGACTTTGCCCACGCAACGCAAAAGCCAAGCAACGTTCCCTGTGCCCGGCCGGGAGCCCGCTCGAATCCCATTTACTTATCACTCTGTTCGGTGAAGTGCCAGAATCTGATCGAAAACCTTTCCGCTGTTGGACAACGACACTGTGTGCTATTTTGAGACTTTCGTAGCTATGTGTGTCTACGGCAGCCCTCCACCATGTCCCTTTCATTTGCCTTATCAGGCCTCTCGGAAATACGGAACGCGCAAAATCACATCCCTCTCGAAACTTGAGACCCGACGGGATGTGACGAAAGCTCTAGCTGCATGGCATGAGTTCAGAGGTTGCATGTGCAGTTGACTCCTGCACTTTCAAACCGTGCAACGTGTCGCACTAGCTTCGTGAAGCTTGACTTCGCTCCCCGGTCGAAGGATGCCTTTTTCGACAGTTTGCTGAACCACGGTTGCTTAAGTTTGGGAGAGTGGGCAATAGTCACAGACGATGAGATATAGGATCATGAGGAGGAGCTTACGTCACAATCCTTCGAAACTTACCCTAAACCCTAAACCGTCCCCCCAACACCCAGACATCATGAGCATCATCGAAGGCCCGTTTCTCCATGAAGGCCTGTTGTAGTGCACCCTTCAAAACAAGCCCGCCAGAGCCGAAAAAGGAGGCAGGCGGACATGCCCCAAATCAAGGGGACTCGCTGCCAAAAACCGGTATCCGGCCAATTCAGGGGGCCCCCCCAAACCCCCTGCGCACCCCCTAAGCCTTCTGGCAGAACAAGTTCTGACTATTGAAGCGAAAGGCTCTCTGGGGGAGAGCTTTCGTGACTTGCGGCTTATTCACATCTTGCAAGGTGAATGAGGTGCCAACATCTTGTTAGACGCGCTCAAGGCGCCTGGGCACTGGATCCGCTTTTCTTCAGATACTCTTGCACAGCTTCGATGCCACCATCCTGGATCATCTGCAGGCTTGCAGGAAAGATGGGTTAAGGAAGGGACTCACTGAAGTAGACAGTCCTCTGCCAGCTGCTGCAACATTTTTTGGTCTGGAGGGCGTTTCCGCCCACCACCTCCTTTGCCAGCTGCCTCAGAGACAGGCACAGGTGGTCCGGGGGCCACGAGTGGCCTCAGGCCCAAGGCCAGCACACAGCGAAACCCAGTGTTGTAACTTCCACTGTCTGCAGTATTGCCCATACGGGTCACGACGGTTGCCTCTGGGCAACAAGGTTGTCACGAAGACGAGCGCTGGAATCTTTCTCGGGGCCTTGTGGTTGAACTCTCCGTCAAGGCTGTCAATGAACGATCCGCCCTTCAGTGTCCATTGCGGTTCCTCCTGCCTTCGCAAAACAGTTACGACTGGCCAATCGTCAGAATGAGCTGCGGTCGCTCTGGTGGGGCTTTGCTACTTGGCATACCAAGCCTGCTTTGCGTTGGAAAGGGATCTGAAGTCCACTCCCAGACATTCCCGACCTTGATGAAGCCAACAGTCACAGGATTTTCAACCAAATCACCTTGAATGAACAACTGAAGATCCAGCGGTTGAGAACAGGCCGTAGGAGTTTGCTTGAAATGCCTGCTTGCTCTTCTGCGTCATTGCAGACCAACTGCTAACTCAGCATGCAGCTACTGTTGGCCATGTGGGAGTTGGATCAAGTAACAAGCTTTCCGTCAGTCCGAAATAGTAAGGTTTCCGTGAAAGGCGTCATATGGCATTATTTATCCTGAGTTTGCGATGCAAGATTGGGTGGCGGCAGGCTTGGACATGAGGAGGGCCTGTCGCACAAGAAATACGAAGCGCTTCTCAAAAAGTGCATCGTCAGGACATCTACGACCCACATGCATGCTGCCCCGGAACTTCATCACCGTTTTGCACGAACGACTGGGATCAACTAGGATCATTCGAGCACTATAGAAGTCCCACTACAGACTTCTGAGATGACGCTTCAAAATGAACGCTTCTATGCGAACGATACTGGCGCCAAAACAAACACGGCCTGTGCTTAATAGCATGGCTTGTAAAGCGCAGCTGGTAGGTTACGGCTGGGCATCGTTCATTTTCTGGTCGGATGCACCTATCTACCTGTCACTCTACCGCAACATACCGCAACTAGACTCGACCAGGCTCGCCTTGTCGCACTATCTATTTGTCTATGATCCTGACACAGCTGCCGCTGTAGCCCCTCTATATTTCAAGTGAGTTCCCCGCATCAGTATTGTCCCAGAATAGCTCGTAGTTCAGTCATCGCTGACCCAGGAACAAGACCACGTGACGGGCCATGTGAACCAGTTGCAGGTGCAGCTGCGACACGCAAGAGGTGCTAAGAAACAGCAGGCAGGGCCTTGACAGGGCTAATGCCATGGTAGCCATCCTGTCATAAAGGTTTGCATGCACTATTGAAAAAGAGGCTTGGTGTAGCTCCCAGCGAGTAGCGCACGCCTACCGTTTTCAACCCATGCTCTTCTGTGTCAGCGGGCACCTCCAGCAAATTCTCAAGCGGAAAGCGCCCCTGCCAAATGTTCATCATCCACCTGATCATTTCTTGTGAGCTACTTCCGGAATTTACTTACTGCCTGCATCTCCCACCTTCCGCTTGTGCTTATGTCTGAGCTCCCCTCCCATGGGTAGAGAGACCTTGTGCATGAGCTCGACATGTTTGCCTGCTTGCTGTGTACACGTACGAACGAGCAAAGTATAAGGTACCAGCTCCTTTCTCTTCCCTCGAGCAGCATTTTCCCACTCAGCCTCATCAGGTCTGCTGGGGTAGCTGTCGGAGTTGGTCTTCGGTCAAACCACCACCGCATTCGATGTGGGGCGGGCACAGGGCAAAGGCTGTGGGGTGGTCAGCTAGCTTATCGGTCGGCTTACCAAGCGGCAGTAAGCACAACCTATACATGCACTTCCATGACCTGAAACAACAGCGTAAAGGAAACAATGACGCGCACTGCAGTACGAGAGCCTCAGTCGGCAGCCGCTTGCCAGCCCAGTCACAATAGGCCTTCTGTATCACTGCACTTCTGCAGTGCCAAAGTCTGCTTCGAATTCCCAACCAAAGTGTCTGGGGCCCCCTGGCACTTGCATCAGTCCAGCTGATGTGCACAACAGGATAGTCTTCCCATCTGCCCTTCAGAGAGGAGTCTCGCCTCGTGACATGTCGCGGCGCAGTGAAACGAACATCACCCCCAAACAGCCCCGAGCCAATGACCCTTCCGGTTGTCGCCACCAGGCCTTTTGGACGGCGACCTCGCCAGGAAAAGTTCGGAATCCCAGGACGCAGCTCGATGGTCTTTGAGCTGCCAGCCCAATGCGGGGCGCTCTCGATGTGCTGCCCAGATTCTTGAAGTACAGCCTAGGTGCCAGACACTGCCACCGGCTGATTCTGTGTTTTCCTTATGTCTTGGCCTTGCTCAGGGAGCTGTTCAGCACAAAGCTCCAACCGTACTTTTCAGCATCCGTCCTGACACGACATACGCACGGGAAATTCGAGGATAAACGCCTAGACGACGTTTCCTGAATTTCGTCTCTTTGACAAACTCCCGGAATTGTGAGTTTGTGACTGGCGTCTCATCGATTGCATACGCCTCTTGCTACAAACTCAGGCCGGAGTGCCACTTCAAATTCTTAAACAAGGGGCCTGCAGCGATACCTGTTTGGTTCCAGGAGCTCCTGAAAGCTCGTCGCCTCCCATGAGGAACGTTCTGGCCTCAGTGTTTGAGGCATGCACGGCGCAGCAGTGCAGGTGTTTGGCGGGCGTGCCTTGCCTTCCTCGAAGCTACGCTTCAAGAAATGAGCCCTTCAGTTTCAGTCTGTCATAACATCGTTGACTCTATCGCAATCGCGTGAGGGTTCCTGTCGGCTCATGTCGTCTTAGTCTTGGCCGCTTCTCGGCACCGCGGCCGACGCGTGCGCCGCGAAGCTGCGGCTTTTTTGTAGCCGGGCCCGTCGCTGTTGCCCGATGCTTAGAACCGCCGCCCACTGCTTTGCCTGCCTTCCCACAGAGAGCAGAAAGGGCCGGAAGTTTCCCCGGCCGATTTTGCTGAAGAGCTCGGAACTGTTAACTGCCTGTTTCTGCTCCGCAGGTCAGCTTCCCACACCCTTCCTTCATAGAACAAAGAAGTCATCGCCAGGTGCCAGCAGTGCCAGCTTTTCACCATAATGGCTCGCTGTCAATTTGATCTGTTTCGTACCTGCCCATGCATGATGATCGGCCCTCAAATGCTGCGTCTGGAACACCTCTGATTGAAGTGCCATGAAGGGGAACGTTTGCATCCTGCTGGCAATCCAAACTGTGTATGATGGCAGAGTCGGGACACCGTGTCGAAAAGCAAGAGCGGCACAGGCTGAGAACAAGGAAAACAGAGTCAGAACATGCGACCAGGCATGTCCGAAAACACGGTCGCTGACTGCGGGAGGTAGGCATCGTGGGGCAAGCCACAGTGTGATCGAGACCATTCGTCAGTGTGAGGCGATGCGGCAACCGGATGCTCTTGTTGATGACCGATCTACCGTGTTGCCACGCAGGCAGGCAAAGTATGAAATGACATTGGAAGGATGCTTGCAACGGAAAGGCAAAACAGATACGACAACTCAACAGGAAAAGATCGACGGACCATCTGGATGATGGCCAAAATCTCAGAACGGCTGATTCGGAAGCCGGAACGGCTGATGCGGAAAGCAAGGAATATGTTTGCCTCTCTGTGATTTCGGACATTTACGGATCTAGAGTCTCAGGTTTGAAGCTTAAGCATTTTGGGGCTTGGCTGAGGCGAGACTTTCCGGTGCCAAGGCGGGTCTGTGGAAGTGGGCTTGCGGAAGCCAGGCAGAGGAAGGTCCGGTTAAGAGCTAAGACTGAGACCCAACAGCTCCGTCACTTGCGTCATCGAGACTTGGTTCTGAATGTGGCATCGCATGGCCCTAACCAGGCTCCGCTCGCCGGTTTCTGCGTTTCGCAAAAGACCGGTAGAACTATTGTTTCAACTCTTCGGAGATCATAAAACGCCAAAGTGTGACGAGCCCGGTCAAGAGTCAAGACCCTGTATAGCGCGTCGGGGAGGCAGCTTGAGTGCACTGTTTCTTACAAAGGATCGGGTTGTCTCGCATAGTCACGGTGCAGTGGAATCCCCTCCGCGACCATGACACGCCTTCATTCGTGGTCCTTCGCTTCTGTTGCAATGGAACAGACGCGCCGTGCAATTTCGAGAGCCAAAGTTGTCTGCTACGCCCAACATCTTGGAAGGTGGATAGGTTGTGATAGGGTATCCCTCAAGCACTGAGTTTTGGTTCCTCCGGATTTAACTGTGGGTCATCTCCGCTCTGCTGCTCGCTCGATACACGGGGGGCCTGACCAAGTCCAGGGCCTCGGGCTAGGAGGCAGAAAGGAAAGGAAGTGTCGGAAGAGAAACGAATGCTGGCACATGCTGATCACCAACGATTCAAAATAGTCGGGGCACCAAAGTTTCTGTTGCGATACCTGCTTGCCGGAATCAATCTTGGATGATGGCAGTACTGAGCCCCACCGATGCCATTGCAGTTGGCTTGCAAGACACTGCTTTGAAGTGGAACTCTCCTGTGACGGGACCCGCGTCCTCCTTCACGTCACATGTCCACAGACAACGTGGAACAACGTGGAATGTTTCTATTTTTTTATATCAAAAATCTCCAGAAAGTTTTGGGCAGATCCAGCAACAGAGATGAGCGAAGACAATGGCCACCGGCTCTCGTGGTCACCGCTGTAAGATATGCTCTGTTGTTCTTCCTATTCTTCTTTATCTGCTAGCTTCTTTACTCCCATTCAAGAAGCTAACACGCGTCCTGGGCTGATCAAGTCCTCTCAGCACTCCAGACAAATTCTCTAGTGCGATTTTCCGTTAACGTCTCGTCCGGAATCGTGCCCGCATGCCTTTGCTCGTACGGACAAAACTGTCGCTCTTCTTCTATTCCGGCCCGACCCGGTCCCTATCTCCCACCAGGTTGGGGAGGTCGGTCAGTCCGGTGACAGCTGAGTCGAGAAGGAAAGTTCTAGAACAGTTCATGCTCATGTATTTCAGGCTGCGCAGGGCTTCATGAGGTTAAAATGGCATCCAGTCAGAAGCGATTGCAAGGAGAGCAGAACAGGAAATGAGCACAGAAACTGCACAAGATCTTGCATTCCCGGGCACAGGGATCTTGCGAAGTGAAGGTCCGCGGCGCCGTTTCTTTGGAGCTTTTGTGCCACTGCCTGCCTGTGGCGCCTCGCAGCCGGCAGGTGCAAGAAGACATCCTCAGTTGCCCAGATGATAACGATCTTAACATTGAATGCTCTTGTGCAAGCTTAGACCTGTACCCAGACATAGCAGCCTATACCTGCACTTCGTCGTCTTGGAGACGTCGTGGCAACGCAGGCACGGATCCCTTCTGAGCCGCCAGCAGGCTTGGCATCTGAAGCTAGTCAACCAGAACCAGAAAAAGGATCATTGGGAATCTAACATTCATATGTCGACAGTCGACACATAAAAGAGGCCCGCTGTCGGTCAAGATAGGTACGCAGCTGTTTTGTGTGCGTCTTGGCAGATTCGGGTGGCCAGGCCAGGATGCATCTTCATGTCTCAGCATTTTGTGTGGCGGCTATGTGCGGCTCGCAGGGGTGCAATGGAGTGCACCAGTGCCATAAGCAAATCCCAGGAGTGCATGTCAGCAATGCAATACAGTTCACTTTGGCGACTCGCTCTTTTCCGCGCGGCCTCCGGAAGATCGACGAAGCGTACTGCTGGACACAGCATGTCAGAGTTGGCCTGCGCCTATTTCGCGGCATGTGTCAAACCCTTCAGGCAATGTGCAGCCGTTCGATGCAGCTCGCCAAACTCGGTCCGATTAGCGATCGGACGGGTGTCAGTATCTATCGCAGGGCACTATGCGCGAGGACGAACAGCCCGAGCCGTAAAGCCTGCAAGATGGACTCAGATCATGGCTATGCGGGAGTCAAAAGCACAAGTCTGTCACAGCGGTCACTGTGGAGCCAACCGTGAAAGTATCCGAGCCGATGCTTCCCTTCCTGCATGCATGACCGCCACAGAGGCCGAATGAGGCTGTACAATCGCCGCACATCCGCAGCGCAACGGTTGAAGGCAATGGTCTCCTCTATGTCAATGGTGATGTCCGTTTTGATGTCTGCTTCCTGCTTTGGCCGGTCTTTCTTCGTCTCCCTGTAGTGCACGGGCTGGCATGCTTCTCGCACCAGACAAGTTCCCACACCGAATACCACCGAGCCATGGACTTTCGCTGGACTCCATAATCTCGAATGAAATCGTAGACGTCTCCAGCACTTCTAGCAGCAGATGAAGCTCCTGTCACAAAGAGCAAGGAGTAGCAAGGCTTGGAGACCCAAGCTCCAAGAGGCCCAAGAACTCTCTGAGCGACCTAGAAGGGCCGACCCGACAGACCCTCGATGATGGCACCGCACCATGCTTGTTCTTCACATGCTGATTTCAACTGGACCTGCTGCCTATGCCCATTTTGCGGTCCGACCCGAAATCCGAGAGGGCTACCACGGGCTGGCTTTCTGGCGCGCGCTAACAAAGCTCCAAATTGTAAGCTAGGACTCACACACCTGAAAAAAACCTTTTTCCTGTCCATGCGGTTCAGGCACTGCCTGGGCTACGTACAGTATGCGGACCAGTCTGTCGCACGACCAACAACATTTCGAACTTTCTTGATCTCGTCGTTTGAGCGAAGAGCTGCATCCCATTGACGCAGATCTCGGAAGTCCGAGTGCCAAGTGTGAGTCAGTCAGTCAGTGTGTGTGTGTGTGTTTCGCAGGTTTTAGATGATTTTTGTGGACAGCAAGTCTTTCTGCGAGCTTGAGTTGCACGTAACTCAAACCTGCAAAAACCCAACATACCCTGGACCACTAAATTTGAAGGGCAGGCGTGTCTTATGCTGCCTGCCTGCTTCCCCCTTCAGGAAAGTACTGTCACGACTTCAGGGTTCTCCAATTCGATCCTGCTGCCGATGCTTGCAAGAGCTACGTACAGATACCACGCGTACCCCTGAGATGGGCAACGCTTAGGCAGATCGGAAAGACCGACATCCATCAAACAAGATCCAGATGATCCAGGAATACAACCAAGCATGAAAGCCTTCGTCAAGAAGTAACACGGATGCCTGTCTACTGCCTACTATCACCTCTGCGCAGGCACACCGACCGACCGACCTGCTTCTCGCAGTAGTTTCTCCGACAGTCTCGCAAGACGTGCCCCTTCTTCCTGCGATGCGAGCGGTAGAGCTGCTGAGCTGCGTGCGCATTCTTCACAAGACTAACATTATGATGGGAAGCGCTGCACCTGGACCCCCTTTTGCTATCGTCCGGCCTTGTTTTCATGGAGCTTCGACTGGGCGACTAGCAGCAGATTTTCACCTTCTATCTGCTTGTTCCCAATCTCCTCAGCTCGCTTGTCCGCTCCGTGTATGCTACGACTCCACTTCGTTTCCGGCCTTGCCAATGTCAACAGCAAGCTTGGCTTTTGCGCGAGCCTTTACAAGGGACAGCAAATACATGTTTCACAGCCGACACTGCCATGAACAAAAACTCCAGAATGTAAAGCATCAAAACGCTCGCGTCTTCATGAAGTGTCGCGATCGGTTTATAATGTTTATAGCATTGCACAGAGTTGAGTGACACTTTCCTCTCCGACATGAGGCAAAGATCCCACTGCGCCTCAGCTACGTTTCCGTAGTTCAGGAAAGCAGATGCCAAGCTCTTCAGTGTCTGGGCTTCACCGACACGATCACCAACCTGAGCCAGTGGTCAGCAATGAAGTGGGCTAGTGTACCTGCAAGTAGCATTCACCAGCGTAGGCAACGTAGGTGCGGCACGCTTTGTTGTATTCCAAGGGCTTCTTTGCCAGCCAATCGGGCCTTCCAGTTGATCTGCTGTTCCTGGAGCAGCCGTGAGGACTGAACGCACACTGCAAGCCATGTTTAGTGCCAATTGTGCATAGCGATGCCCGCGCTCCTGCTGGTCGCTGCGGGCTGTCGGGAGTTGGGCCACGTGCGCACTCGCCATGACGCTGAGTGTGGTCCCCAGCTGTGTCCTGACAGGGTCTTTGTTGGCAATTCTCAGTTTGCAGCATAGAGGTGCCTGAAGTTGTTGTCGCGACAGAGGGTCACCGCTTCCTCTGCGATGCGAAGAGCCTCCTCCTTCCACGACCATGAGTCTGAACTGTGAACTGGCTTCTTCCAACAATCGTGCCAGACAGTCGCACGAGCCATTGTCCACATGTGCAGCTGCAATCTGGCATAATGTGGTGGCCTGCACACGGCTGCTTCGACTTACGGCACACCTCGCGGCACATGCTCACAGGCCTCACCACTTTTGTGGCCCACTTCGCGAAAGCATTCTAGAGCTTCTTTCGTGTACTGCCAACCTGAAAGCGCACGTGTCGACACCAGGCCAGTGCTGAGCGTCCTAGCGTCCCTGAGCCCTCAACCGTCGATGCTGTCACCTCCTTGAAGCCGCTGCGACATCTCTAAGACTCAGTGACTCAGACTCAGAAATCATGATGTCCCACCTGCAAAGCAGATTTCAGCCAGCTGCTTCAGCGTGATGCCCTGCACCCGGGAAAAGGGCTTGCTTTCGGAAGTCCGGGATCCTTCACCCCAATCTTTGGCGCGTCGGAGTGGCTGCTTGTAAACATCTTGAATCTTCAGCTGAGTTTGTAGAGAAGATATAGCAGAACTGCCTGCTTGAGTGGCAAGAAGGGACAACGAGTTTCCAGCATTGAGTTGCTTCCTCAACGCAAATGCAAGAATCATGCAATGTGGCTGTGTCCAATCAAACTTTGAGAGTTCCTTCTTTCGCACACCGGCCACGATAGGAAGACAAGTGGCCACGGATGGTCTGCTAAAGTTGCTATGCAGCCACGCAGCTAATTGAGGGTTGCAAGATGCAGGGCTCCAACATGTTTTGCTCAACCCCCTTGACTGCACTCCGGGCGTTGGACTCCGGCTTAGGCTAAATGTGCAGCTCGGTCTCCCAACGCTTTCCTCACGGTGCCCGCATAACATGCTGGACGTCCCCTCCAATACGGTCATGCGGAAGGCACCGTCATGCTGGTCCTGCCTTCGACTTCATGCTGTCCGTCTGTAACCCCGAGAATCACAGCAAGCAACAGGCAGACTACTTCAACCTCCAGCAGCAGAGCACAGCGCTACCCGTGGACCATGTGATCGAAAAAGAGGCCCATCGTCCTGCTGGAATTTTCCTTCGGTGTTAATGTTTGACAGCTTGGGCTGCAGGATCTAAGCGCTCGATGGTGGCAGTGACAACAACAACAGCGTGATTCTCCAGCAAACAACCCGGACATGTATGCTTGCCACAACAGGTCTTGGCATGCCATTTTAAATTTGTAATTTGTGTGTGCGTGTGCGCACGCAGGCAATGAGCAACATCCTTCCTTGTGTACGTGCTGAGAGGTAAAGCCGGAATGCACCTCTTTCCCTCCGGGCATGAGCAAGCCCAGCATGCAAAAGGAGTCTCACCAGCTGTAGCTCCAGTCGTGGCGCTTCGGCTGTCTTGCACGCTTCTTCTCGCACTGTAAGAGAGCACCGATTATATAGTTCTTCAAGCATTTGCATGCAGAAAAACATCACCCGCTTCCAGAATCCGGGCTAGCCTGCATCTGCCGATTGTCCGTTTTCTCGAAGAGAGCGACTGCTTTCTGAGCCTGCAGCTGACAGCGTCTGAAGGCTACTCTGTGAGCCCGGAATAGCGGCAAGCTGTGGCGATCTCGTGATCGAGATCTGAGCTCCGGACTGCTTCTTGGGCTTCCTGGGCATCTCCCAGGGCCTGCAGACGAGAAGTCGCCTCAAGCTTGCCTAAGCTGCGTCTACTCTTGTGCCACTGTACCGTAGTTCTGCCTGCTTCGTCTTGGCAACAAGAAGCAGCGATCTGGACTCAGCGTCTGCTCCGTCTTGACACAGTGCCAGCACCTCTCCACAGTTCAGGGTGTGTAAGCATGTTCCTGACAGGAAGGAGCTTCGAGCTTCCGCAGATATTCCTCGCCTCGTTTGCAGCACGGAGAGCCTCATTGCCCTTTTTCGACACTAAGCATGCTCGGACCAAAACCTCCAAGGCCATTGCCTCTCAGGCTAAGCTTCGTGATGTAACAGGGGAAGCATCAGACCGGCAGAAACGGCCTCACCACCTTTCTCCCCACACTCTCTGAACAAAGCCGCAGCTTGCCGTGCAACCTCCAGACACTTCGTGATACGTGTCGACTCCGCGCAGGGCTCGTCGACCCTCGAGAGATGCAGTGTCCGCCTTACTCGCCTCTTGCTTCTTGTCTCGCGCGAGGCAGACCTGCACCACATCCGCGTCGGCACCGCTGCAAAAGATGGTCCCGGTGCCTGCGCGCGTGCGGTCAGTGCCGCAGCCTGAATCGACTTGCCCTTCTGCTGCGCCTAAGGCTGCTCGGGAGTGGCAGTGGCAGGAAGCCAGGAGCAAATGATGCAGATGGCAGCTGGGTCGCAGGCGAGCGAAACCGCAGCTTCTGCTGCTTGGAAGGCATCGTCAAGTCGGAAATGCGCCAAGAACGCCTGGAGCCCCGTTCTGGTGCTCTACTCTACGAAGCCGAGGCTTGTCTAAGGGATTCTTTCAGTATCCTTGGCGGCAACGCAGTGAGCCAGTACATCTGAGGAGTCCTTTGCCTGAGTCGACACGCCAAGACACGGCGTGGCATCTGAGCAGTCCTTATAAGGCCCCCACTCCACGCGCAGCTTCCACCCCCTGTTTTGCTGCCTGGAAGGCTCATTGCGCATTGTGCAGCTTCGCATGCTTCGCAGACACAAACAGCACCGAACTCATGAAACCTACAAGACAGCAGGGTCTTCACCTCTTCAGCCTTGAGGAACTCTCGAGCCAGCAGGTGCGCTCGAGCGATGCCGTTGTGAGCTATCGCCCTTGCCGATGCGTCCCGCGCTTGCTGCAGCGCCTTTCCAAGTGTAGAGGCAATTCGCAACGAGTTAGCTGGGCCGAGGCCACCATTCCAGCGCAGAAAGCAGCGCCTTGCTGGCAGTCGCCAAGGCCTTGTCTGCCTCCTGCAAGGGACTGCCTCTAGAGATTTCGAGTGAGCTGCATTATAGCGAGATGCATGCCTCACGGTACAGGCTCTGCCAGAATTCTGATGCCCAGGATGCGAGATTGAGGCCTTCATCCTCAAAGCAATCAGACACTTGATTCTGGAATTCTGGCACAGCCATTGAGGCCGCATGGGTAAGTCCAGGTAAGTGCCATGCAAAGTCCAGGACCGACATGGCTTCAAGCACGGAGGGATCCTCCCATCCTCTCTGAAGGGGCGTTGCCGTGACTTGAGCCGGGGTACCATTCGCGGCGGAACTGCATTCGGCTCAACGTGATGAGAGGCAAGGAATACTTCGGACATGCTCCCCCCGACTCCAGATCAACCAGATCATGCTCAAGAATTTTGTCCGCATGCGCATTTGGCCGCGGAGCATCTGATTTGTCAGACACAACTCAAAAGGGCTAACCTCGGTATGCTGCAATCAATGCTAGTTTGCTGCATCCCAGTGCTGCCAGATGTAGAATGAGTCTGGACGTCAGCCTCCGGCCTTGAATTGTCGTCTTCGCTTGCCGAGCAGCGTCCTCTCTCATCTGTGTCTCTCTCTGGTCTGTCTTGCTGGCTTGGCTTGCTTCGTTTCCACAGCACAGATCGAGGGCCAGCGTGCGCTCCGTGTCGGCACAGGCCCTTCGGCCGTCAACGAACACGGGCTCGTACCGCACCACCAGTGATTACGTTGGGAAATTCCGTCCCGTAGCGGAAGCAAGCAATTCAAACCTTGCCCTGCACTAACCCTTCGAATGCTTGGTTCCAGCATCCCCACACTGGTGGCAGGCCACGACCTCGCTCGGACTCTACGCATACACGACCCAAGAGCCCAAGAAGGTTCAGGCCCGGCCACGATCAGGAGATGCAAGGCAGTGACAAAGCGGCAGGAAAGGGAAAGACCGCGAATGCGGGGGCGCCCCCCCCATCATGAAGTAAAACAGCGCCCACCAGCGCCCGACGAGAACCGAATGCAAGACATGTTGCTGGGTGCATTGATAGAGGCGATGCCATCAAGCAAGTGATCAAATCATTCCCAACAGCCCTTGGCAAAGCACGAAAGCAGGTGCAAGAGATCAAGAAAGCTCAGACGACACATCGGCCCACCTGGCAAAAGTTCAAACAACGGCAGCCCTCGGGGGAAACTCAGCTCCAATCCGGAGGACAAGGCGGATACTTTCGAGGTCGGTGACTCGGAAGTGGAGTAACAACGTTACAAGAAGAAAAGAATTTGCGAACGTACGTGCAATATGATGGCTTGCGCAGGAACTGGGCAAGTCGCTGGCCACAAGCTTCGTCGATGTTAGAGCCGCCTTTTACTGTGTCTTCCGTCCTTTACTGCTGGCACTTGGGTACGGCTATGATGCCGATAAACTTGCATATGCCGATGAGCTTCCTGAAGACCCCACCCGTTTCTGCTGAATGTTTGCGTAACATGGTTGGCAGCGGACACATCGGGGGCGGCTGCAAAACCCGTTGCATGGCGACTTTGTCCACACGGTGTGCTCGCATACTTTTCAATTTCGCAATAGACGACAGTTGGCGGCGCACGCTAAAAGCATATGCTGCCTTTGCCGCACGAAATTCACGACCAGGTCTAACTGTTGGCACATTTTCACAACAGATCACCTCCTTATCGGGGCATACTTTTGAGGCATTTCCGGCCGCTTGAGATGAAAGAGGTCATCGCATTGGATAGCGCTGAAGTTGAGCACATTCGCAACCGTCGCAAGCGTGGCGTGCCGCTTGACGATGCTCATCGCTTGCCCACCGGTGAACAACCGTGAGTCGTGAACTTTGCATTGAGGACATCGTCGGTGATCGCCGTCAGAATGTGTTGATGCCGCATAAGTGTCATGTGGCCCGACCATGTGTCTTCTGACCCTCCCCGCTTCTTTCCTCGACTCAGGGTCTACACGTGTGTAGCTTTGGCTTTGTAAAGGGGTACTTACCAAGCGCAGATTCAATTTTCCAGCCAGTCTGATTCACAGAGGGAAGCAGCACGACCGCACAACCCAGCAACGATGCAGATCGTGTGTTGTCGGGGGTTTGGGAAGATTGCCGATGTTTGCAAAGGAAATTGAAAGACGTGGCACTGGGAGGGACCTCGTTCGGATTCCCCGCATACATGGTAGAAAGCCAGCACAGAGCAATGCCACCATAATTACCAAACACCAGTATCTCAAAAACGAAAAACACAAAACACAAAAACAAAACAAGCAAACTCAACAAAACAAACTAAAACAACACAAAAAACCACAATTTTCTGCAAGTCTTCCTCAAACTATGCATTCCAGGGATCCGGACCAGGACTTTCTTACAATTTTTTTTGTCAACTTGATTTTTGGTATGGGTTTTGTGTCAGTGTTGCCCTTGCCGTTGCCTTTTCCTCCGCGACCACCTCGGAGATCAGGCCACGCATGGTCTGCGTTGCGTGGCGTCTTAGCCGGTCGTTCTGGAGGGACGTCCTTGCTCATGGCGTCCTGCAGGGCCTGGCTGTCGACCATGATCTCGTTGGCGATCTCCTGGAAGGATGCGCTTTTGCGCAGGGCGAGAGCGATGCGCCAGGAGGTGTTCTCCCAGTGGAGCCTGAGCTGCTCGATCTTGTTGGGGCGACTGCGGACCAAGCGCTGCCAATACTCAAAGTAGTTGTCCAAGTCATGCTCCGGCGCGTATGCTAATAAGACGAGCGCCATGTGGTTCGCTGTGAAGCGGTCGAGAAGAGCGGTCCGCGATTGCGGGCGCCACCTGTCCTCTGGCTCTGTCTCGAGCTGCAGGTCCACGTTGACCACGAGCGTGCGAGACCTCTTCTTCGAAGCCAAGTTGTTGGGCTCGCCGGACGCCTTGAAGTGCCTGTTCTGGACTATCTCCTCCAGCGGCACCGAGCTGTGTTGTCCGTTCTTCGCGTCGGCGATGAGCTTGGCGAGTGTGGCTTCTGCTCCCAACAACAGCGTCTCGGGAAAGCGTCTCGCCACACCCTTGATGTGGACTGCTTCGTACTTCTTGATCTGCTGTTGCCAGTGCCCGGGGGGCAACTCCTTGGCCTTCGTTGACGAAGAGGACGTGCTTGTAGTGGTCGCCGATGTCCCTGCTGGCGCTGCGGGGGCGAGCGCTTAATCTCTGCACCTATTCCAAACGTGACGAAGGCGGCGGACCACGGGAAATTCCTTGTGCGAGACCTCGGCTATTCCTCCGTCGTTCAACTTGAAGGGCTTGCGTAGGGGCTCGACAATGGCTTCGTCGAACTCCGCGGTCGTCTCCCCTAGTTCGGCAAAGATCGCTGCAGTCGTCACGCCCAGCGTCTCGATGTACTTGCGGAAGTCGTCCGAGGCGCCGGCCGTGGAAAGGAGGCCTGCAAGGAAGGGTCCGATCGAGGTCCTTAAGCTGCGCGAAACGGAGCTGCGGCGCCGGCGCACTCTCACTCACCATCTGCACAAGAACCGACAGAGAGAGAGAGGGTCGCTGTCACATTCAATCTCGCATTTTCGAATGCGTGGCGGCAGCGGAGGCTGCGACTCAGCTCGACGAAGAGCTTGCACTGTCAGTTCATCCGAGGCCGCCGGTGCGCTGGCTTCTGGCTTCGCAGTCGAGGCTGCCGCTGCACACTCGGGAAAACACTTGCGGCACACGTCCTGCGAGCCATCGTCGTGGGCTCGAAACAATTTGGCAAAAAATCCGAATGCCCACCCGCAGCGTGCCCTCCACTGCACGGGCGGGCGAACCGACTCCTCGAGGTCTCTAGCGTGAGCCTGTTCTTGCAGACCATTCCCGGTCTGTCCTGTATAGATTCCAATCTCTCTGCGATGCCATCGAGGGTGCCCAGCAAGGACGTGATCTGAGCATCGTCTTTAGAGCTGCCCGAGACGTGAGGCTTCTTGGCGGGCTGGCTTGAGGCTTCCTGGCCCGTGGCAGTCGAAGGAACCAGGGTCCACTGCGTGGTGTCCGGGCCTTTGGCCTCGTCGTCGATGCGAGCGCGTGGCGTCGGTGGTGCCGGTGCCGTCTGCGTAGAGATCAGCATGATGTCCTGGAGCTCGGTTTCCTGGACGTACCTTTCTATTGCTCGGCTCCCTCAACGGCCAAGGAGCATTATGGTCGAAACCGGGATGCGCATGCGGCACAAATGCTATGCTCCCGACACTCGCAAGCAGTGTCCACCAAAGCGCTGCACCTCGGGCTCGTCCGCGACCCCTGGGCGGGAAAGCGAGATGCCGGCCGCGCGTAAGACATCGTGAATCATCTCGATCGTCCGGGGCTTGCTGAGAGGCGTGCCTGGTGCATGTAGTTGAGAAAAGGAAGTCCTCCGGATTGTATACGGGCAGATGGTCTCCGGCACCACGCCGCAGTAGCATGAGTGCTTCCTGTGCACCTAGTTGCCCACAGTGTCGGTTTTGCTAGATGCAAGCGTGAACGTCACCTGCCTCGACAGCGAATTGATGTTCATGTGCTTGACCCTGAGCCCCGCGAGCTCAATCTCGCGGCATAGGAACCAGGCGCCCAAGACAACCATGCCGTGTGCGAAGGAAAGATCCGGGTCATGCACGGGCAAGTCAAAGTCCAAGGCGTCCAGGCGGAACGCGTCCTTCACGGTGGTGGCGCCCATACGATCGCATGGCGTCGCGGATCGCCATCTCGACCATGGCCGAGACCGGCATCCCCGTGACCCTGACGTGTTCCTTCCGGGCTCGAGAAAAGTATTGTGCGGAGCTGCGGATAGCCGCCGAAGCGAAAACTCGCCCCGACCATCTCGATGAGCTCTGGCGTGAGCGGGACCGGCTCCTGTTGCCATGCTTCGCAGATCTTGCACCAGGTTGTCCGTGCGGAGCGGGCGTAGACGTTGTCCCGGAAGTCCTGGAGCGCACGCTCCGCGTTGCCTGGCTTGGCTGCCGCGACTGCCTTGGCCAGCAGTCCACCAGCCGAGGTGCGCACTTGTGGTAGGTCGCGACGGACCCGAGGACCCATGTGTGGCTCGTCGGTGCCCGGTCCTTCTGTCTTGTCGGTCGCGAGTTTCGGGTGGTATCCCGAGGAGACGAGCAAAACCTCGATGTGCGTGGCGAGAGAGGGGGACACAGTAGAGATGCGCTGCGCTTCGTGTATGCTCTCGACCAACTCATCGCTAAGCATGGCAGCAGCGGCGGTAGTCCTTGCTGCTGTCGCTCGTGCATGTCACTCCGTGCAACTAGTTGCACTACACTACATGTGACAGTGCTTAACAGGTCTTGAATTCTGAGTCGTCCGAAAGCAAGCTTGCATATGCTTCTGACTTGTTCTCCTGGTCGTTGGGGCGCGTGTGCTGTGTGTTCTCAGCGCATCCATGGCTTTGTCCTTTCCCTCGTAGTAGCAACACCAAAGCAAAGCACGCAAGTTCCGCGGGGCACCCTCAAGTACAGATTTCAAGGTACGGATTAATGCTAAACTGGCTGCTGCCATCGGCTACCCGTAGTTGGCAAATACAATGACAATAGGAGAAGTTCCAAGTTCTGAATCAGCTGGGCGATGTCCTGGACTCCTGTCACTGGCATCGGGCTCCTTGGCTGTGCCGGGCTCTACGTACCTCCAGACATCAAGCATGAAGTGCCTCGAACGATTGCAGCACTCCCGGCCTGTAAATGGGGTCGCAAGATACTGCAAAATACGCTCGTGACCAGACCTGGATGTTGCAAGTGTGCAGGCATGTGCTGCCCGAGCTGAGTGCCAGCTCTGTCAATGTTTCCCAACCACGCGTGGTGGCAAACTTCATAAAACCTTTCTTGAGCTCTAGTCTGAAGCTGTTAGGAACTGCACCTGCGCAGACTGACAAGACCAGATACAGAATATGCAGATGGCTAGACGACAAAATGATGCTCGCACGTTGCAAGAAGGTTGCCCTTAACATTAACGCAGTAAGGATCGGACAACTGTCACTGGCCAGATGAAGCAGCAGGCCAGCAAAAGGACGACTCGAACCAGCTTCTCTATCATCCATCGCCATCCCGTGAGAGCTTCCCACGAAGCGGAAGTGGACAATGCCGGTTCCAACAGGCGCCTGAAGAGCGCATCGTCGCGTTTTCACTCAAAGAGAAGTGTTGCGCCGAGAACCGTCCTCTGTACTTCAGCAGGAAAATCCAGTGTCCGAAAATAGTCACCCATCTTTGAGAGGGCTGGCTCCACGGATGCCTTGACACCTGCCGAGTTTGGCTAAGCTTTCAAGAGCTGACTGCATTTCCCGCACCTCCGGCCACGATTGATGTTAGGCGTTCTCGAGCTTCGTCACTCGCATCGAAGTCGACGAAATACGAGTTCTCGTTGTCCTGCCAGCTCCAACATTTCCCAAGCCCTTTTGAAGTTGCCGAAACAGCACCTTTGCTTTTTAGCGGCTTGCCTTGACGAACTCGAGATGCCCACCGACGGGCTGGATTGCCACCGGAATGCCTGCACTCCAGGCCTTCCAAGGGGTTGAGCAAGAGCCTCCGGTGCTAAGAGCTTGCAGCACAAGCCTCAACGACGGTGTTTCCGAGCGTTTCACAGGTACTCGCGGAAACAAACAAATCGCTGGCAGCATATGCTATTCGCAGATCTTCTGCCCCGAGCATGCCTTCCGAGGAGAAGTCGATTCCAGAGTCAGAAACTGATTATGCATGAATATGGTAGCAGGATTGAAAGACAGCAGCCTCGCTTCGGCAAGATGTTGCGTCGCCCGGTAGCCTCAGCAGCGGGACATGTCTGCAGTTCCGAATTGCTTCTTGTCCTGAAGTGGCAGATGAGATGCTTCTATCTCATCGGCATAGTCTGCATCACTGTCGCCCACGATGATCAAGCCACAATCGTCAGGGATGGCATCATGCAACAAGTGTATGCGCTTTTCTGCTGACCATCTGCCCGCAAAAAGAAAAATAGCTTTCGGCTCGAAGCCCAACTCCTCAATCCAACATGCTCGCTTGGCTGCCGCAGATTCCTGAAAATCATGGAGCGGTCTCCGAAATGCATCGGACCACAACACCGGAGGCCACACGCCATCTACCGGTATTCTGTAGCGGTCCCAAAGCGACTTCGCATACACATGCGCCACCGACGCATGCAAAGTTGCAAAGAAGGCAGATGCCAAATGAAGCCACCACAAGATCTTCAGCAGAATGAACTGATTGTACACGGGATGCGAAGGCACATCCGAGTGAGTTGTGGCTATGCTGGGCATGCCCAAGCCCCGCATCAGCATCAACGGCGCTATGCGCATGCAGCTATCGTCGATGAAACACAACGCATGGCCTCACACCAGCTCCGTCTGTGCTTTTTGACGTTTCCTATCAGTCGCTGCACTTCCTCTGCTGCACGGCAGCAACGACAGGACTAATGCCAACAACCTCCCCGGCACTGCACTCGCTCGTTCGTGACCCGGGCACCCGCCCTGCTTTGCTGAGGGCTTAAGGCGCCACCCACCATTGCAAGTGCACACTGGTTTAAGGGTGGCGTCCGGGGCCCAGGCCTTTTCCGTCTCTTGGTGCAGTTTCCTCCAAGCTGGGTGGTACGAGGATTCTCATGTTGGCTGCCCCCACTGGAAAGATCTTCTTTGCTCCTTGGGACAAGGCCATCCTTGCCGAGTGGTGACTGTTTTTCTACCGAGGCGTCGTCTGCGAGAATGTGGCGATGCTCGCACTGTACTCTTTGTTCTTGCTCCCTAGAAAGCCCGAAACGTTTCTGGGGTAAGCGGGTCTGCAGTACACCATGTCGGAGGCAACTTACGCAACAACTGTGTGACCAGTGCGCTGCGGAGCACAGCTGGATTCTTGGCAGGACTTCAGGCATGCAAATCTGTGCTCGACACCCAGGTTTGTGGCATCTGCCTGCCAAGTGTTCTTCGTTCTGCAGTCAGTTTGGTGCCGCTTTTCATCCGGTAAAGTAGCACTGTTTTCCTAACTTATGTGCGAAACTTGGAGTGCTGGTACATGTGCTTCTACGCAGGGCGAGATGCAAAAAACATGATGAACTGCCGTCGCTCAATGAGGGTGTGGGCTCAATAAACGTGATTTACCGCCATCGCCTGATGACAGGGCGAATGATGAAATGTGAGCCAACAACAAACAACCTCCCACACCTATCGAGGGGGCGGATTTAAGAAATACGAGACACAGCCATCGCTTGTAAGAGGGCGGGCTCAAAGAGCTATGATCAACTGCCATCGCTGAAGAGGCGAGTTTAAGACACGTGATCAAACGCCACAGCTCAGTGAGGGGAGTAGGATTTCGCGATGTGATCAAGCGCCATCGCCAAATGAGGAGGAGAGTTTAAGAAAAGTCGCCATCGCCATATGAGGGGCGGACTCAGAAGATGTGATCAATCGTCATCGCCTAGTGAGGCGGTTTCGCAGATGTGATCAACTGCCAACGCTTGCGGCGAGCGAGTTTGAGACAAGTGATGATGCACTGGAATCGCCTACTGAGGGGGCGGGTTTGAGAAATGAGATCAGCCGACAGAACGAGGAGGCCAGACATGTGGACTCATCATCGCACACCACACTGCCCTGGACAGACTTTCGCCTCCATGAAGCAGCTCCCACACCAGTCTGAAGGTGTTGTGGATGGAGAAGAAGTCCATTAAAACAGCCACGCCAAGTGCATTCGAAGCCTGTAATGCCCAAACTGGAACGTGGACAAGCTGGCCAGTCTTCAACCATCTCCTCAGCCGGCGCTGGTCATGTCAAGCATCTGACCGACATCATGAAGAGCATGCTCTCGTGTGCCATCAGGTTTTTGCAGAGGCCGGGTGGCTCCACATCTGCCTCGCCGGATTCGCCGATGCTCACCGGAGAAAGCAAGGTGACTTGCCAGTCAAGACCGTCGATTAACGCTCGGCAGAGTGCAAGGTAATCCTTGGCCACACCGCCGGCCTTCGAGACAAAGGCAAAGCTCGCACCTACCTCCAAACCAGCTTTTTTTTCCATCCCCCGCCTGCTTCAGCAGCGGCGGAAAAGCTTGTGCACAAATCAAGGCACGCATGGCAGTGCAAGCACTGGCAAGGCTTGGAAGGGTTCTGGGACTTCAGTCTGCCTGTCTTCGCTGAATGTCGCAGCATGCAAGCTCAACAAGAAGCCCTGCACGGTCGATTACCTAGAGCGCCAGGGTGCCGGACCGGATCAGAACTCAGTCCGATCCCAAAGAGCAAGTGATTGCAATGTGTGAGTGACCGGATGGCTTCTGGTGTCCTGAACGATCTGCTCCTTGAGCTTCCAGAGCTTCCATGGGCAAAGGTATACGTCTTCACGTGCAAAGTCACAACCCAGTGAGACCTCTGGTCTGTTTTCCACACTCTGCGAGAGGTGGGAAAAGAACCTGTGCCTCCCTCAAGACTTTTGAACCCAAGCCGTGTACTTTGTACACGCCAGCTTCACGAAGTCCTGAGCCCTGCTCCGGGCGGATGCAGATCGGCTTAAATGCGGCCCAAACGCCGGATATCTTAAGAGCGCACAGAATCGCACAGAGCACTTAGAGCACCCGCTTACCCAAAAATCTGTGATTTTACATGCTTTTACTGTCTTGCAAGCTTCTGACCTCTACATCAAGCAATAAGTAATTGTCGGCACAAACGGGCGCGGAACGTAGCCATGTTGTTGCTGGGTTAGCAGAACACAACGTGACCACTTGCCAGCCATCTTATGTAAGATAGCCAGGCAGAATCGATCAGAGAGTCTGTCACATGGTCCACTTGGCGAAGAAATCGTTGCCTCGTTGGAACTGTTAGATATTTTTGGTCCATGGGTACTTGACGGTATCTCGTAAGAAGTCTGCCTTTGTCGTCCACCAGAATGAAAGCAGGAAAGTTTTCTACCTGACCGCAGGGTTCGAGAACCACGGCATTGGTATGATTCGCAATAAGGATGCTCGCAACGCGTGCCTCAATCTTCCAGACTGCCTCCATGCCGAGCTCGGGAAACTCCAGCACCTGCGGCAAACGACAATTCGTAAGGTCTAAACAACTGGCTTGGTACTGCAGTCCCTATCGTCATTTGAGAACATCACAGCCCAACCATGCCTCGATCTTTTTGATGCAGTCTTCGGCGAGAACCTCCATGTGCAGTTTCAGATGCGCTTATGATGTGCATATTATGGCCTTTAAAGAGCAAAGACCACAGGATCGCTCTTGGAATCCAACCGCCGCGGCTCCACCAACGCTGCCGAGATAGAAGCCGCCGTATTTCTTGCAAGAATCTGTCACCTCCCGAGAACCCGAGAGGTGAGAGGTGGGTCTCTGCTCCGCTCGTGCAGGCAAACGGCCTGCTTTGAGCGATTGCCCTTCGCAAGCGTCACCTTATGCCGACACAATCCGAGAGATGCCGTGTGCCGAAGACTCGAGTCGACTCAAGGACAGACCCCTGCACAAGGGGCAAGGGATGGCAAGGGTAAACAGAGCTGCTGCTCCGATGCTCTCACACCATCTCACACCGATTGATGCAGTGCCGTTCCAGCTGAAGCCTGGACCTACTGTGTCGGCTGTCGGCTGAGGTCGTTATTGAAAGACTCGATGGCTCGTGGAGCCTACAAGTTAATGACCTCATGGTACTTACTCCTCCACAGCCGATCTGCCGCGACGCCCAAGGTAGGGTGCCCAGGCGACCAAGACGGATTTGAAGGCATGGACAAAACACTTTGCTCGCACCCCACCTGAAACCACACGACCTACTTTTCGGGCAAAGACAAGAGTCACACTAGACGAGGGAAGCACACCCTGGGTGTATGCATACTGCATACAGTATACAGTATACATGTTCAAACCATGTGATTGTTGCAAAGTTGCTGTTCTCGTTTCATGCGCTTGTTTCGTTACCAATCTTCTCAACAAAGGGCCCAACAGTGCCTTGCACCAAAATACTCGCCGAAAGCAGTGCTTCGATCCGAGTAGAGCAGCGGAAAGCACAGCGAGCTTGCTCCGTGGACAATCTTCACTCTGCAAGGCCTTCGAAGGATGTGTAAGGATGGACAAACATGGACGAACTAATAATTCACGATGCCCCTAAACAGAGCCGGTTGGTACAGCAGAGCTCAGGGAACCGTGGAGTTTTTGGGCATAGGCCGCTGCTGCGAACAAGGAAAGAAATCCAAACCCGCGGAATGGTCTTTATTTGGGTGAGTCAGTGATCAATGCCGAGGTTCATGAATCCTGGAGTCCCGTTGCAATGTGTCCACTGCAATGCGACACGTCCGAAAGAATCCGACATGGGTTCTGCGAGGTTGTCGCTGTGAATTTCGACAAAGACGTATTTGTGGAGTGCTTTGATGATCAAGAGCCCTGCAAGCGACGGCACTATCACAGCTTAGAGGTTTGGGCATGGGTCCATGGGCTGTAGCGGGAAGGAAATCAAGGATTGCAGAAAGCCGGCCAATGGTGATGGAATTGAAAGGGCCAGAGCACTCACAGTGTCAGCTCGAACATCTCCTTCAAGTTGTGGTAACACACGACGGCGACGCAGTCAAGACACTTGCATAGCCTAGCCAGCCTAGCCAACATACCCATTAAAGAGCAGATGCGCCAGTGGTGTGCGATTCAATCTCATACTCAGCGCATTCCACATTGAAAAGCCATGCTGGAAGGGCTGTGAGTTGGGCTTCTTTCTCGTGACACTACAGGCCGCCCAATCGCGTCGCGGGCAAGCGATTCAACCTTTTCTGACGAAGCTCGGTAGTTCTGCAAGGGTATGCCCGCTGAATCGTTTGAAGTGGGGTTTATCAGTTTTGCTGTTGCGATACATCAAACAACTTTTGACCGAAAGTGGTGCCTCATTCCCCGAGGAATCAAGCAGACAACAAGGTTCCGTTCAGAGTGGATGATTTGTCAAATTCAGCAAGCCAGCCCGCACGGACTTCTTCAATGAGCGTCGTGGTTTGCTGCAGCTTTCCTGCCTTACTTTGCGATTTGTTCCTGTAGTCACTGTGGCCTCAAACCAGGCCCGGCCATGGGTGTTACTTTCGGACTCTATTTTGTCGCACAGGCCTCCAAGCACCGAAAAAGAGGTGCAAATCAGATGCTAAACTCAAAACAGAGGCTTAGACCCTTGTCCCTACAACCCTGTTGATTTGTCAACGTGTCCTCAGGTCGAACACACACCAACACCCGCAAGCAGGCAAAGCTCACAACAGTCGTTCATCCTTTGCAGGTTCCATCCAGTGCCTGGCAGCCCCATGTACAAGGTCAGCTTCGTGAAATCACCCTTCTGGCATTATGGGTCGAAGCAACAGTCACCATCTAGCGCCGAAGGCCCAAACACGAACTGCCAGCATCACTCACCTTGAAATGCAGCTTTGCTGTGGCGCGGGCCAAAGAAGCCCCGTGCGGTTGCCACATAGGGACATAAGTGTCCATGCCTTAGGGCTTACGGAGATCTCACATGCCATCACAAAGGTGCTTTCAAGACCGAGCCCCTTCAGCTTGGAACGGCCCGCTGTGGTTGGTCCGAAAGACCCAGAGGCATATCCTGCAGGTGTCCTCAGCCCACGCCAAAGATTCCAGTTTCCTCCTGCGATCCTGCGCCTAAGCCTTTGGCTTTGCGGGGCCAGCATAGTAGATCGGGTGATCCTGCACAGCTGCACATGACGCCAAAAGGCTCCAGGCAACAGGCAAGAATCCTTCACGTATTCTGGAAGGACTCCCGTCTGATCAAACCGCTCGCTGATCTTGGCATGGGCGATGTCGCGTGCCACGATGAGCGGGCCTTGCTTCCATGATCAACGTCTGAAATCTGCGTTGGGTCTGAGGGCATGTCCAGTCAATGACACCCTGGTCTTGATTGGGTACCTTTCAGCATCCGAACTGTCAATCTAGCTGATCGTGGCAAAGGCAAGGCTGACCACAGCGCTTCCCGAGCTCAAGACTGTGTGAGGACGGCAAGAATGTCTTTCATGGGCTGCTTCAGGTTTATGGATACGACCTATCACGGGTGCTTGTGCCAGCAAAAGACCCGCTTCCTCCTAAGCTAATCTGATTTGATCTCTCCACCGCTCTGTCATATTTCGGTTGCGCTCTGCCTCTGACCTAGGCCCACAGACCTTGACGGATGCAACGAGAGCTCGTGTGTAGGGTCAGCGCCTGCTCGGACAGCCCCGTCACAGGCCCGTCAGGCAGGTGCCGTGCCTCACATGGCAACCATGGACCCAAACAACTCCCAACGTCCCCCAACCACATCCACAAAAGAAGATCATCCAAGATGCGGGATTATGCTCAAGCTCCTCCACAAACACGCCTTCAGCCGTGATTTTAGCCAAAATCCTGGCCAACACCATGTCATGGAGCAGCTTCTGACAAACCCAGCTGAACATAGCATGCACAACTGCTGCAGTGTTTTTTGCCATGGCTCCGTCTTTCCCTTGCAAGTGCTCAATATGGTTGGACTCTCATGCCAAAGCGTGGCGGAGGAACTGGCGATCTGCACTGCACGAAACTCCCAATCCAACAGGGCATGATGCGCCATGCCTGCACAGGCCATGACGAGCTCAAAATAGTGGCTCACTCATGTCCGTGTCGGCGAAATTGGGCCCGGCATACCAAGAACTACATCAGTGGCCAGGTGGAGGGGAGACTCCTCCAGTAGTTGCTGGTTTGGTCATGTTGGGACAAGGATAGTGCGGAGGGTGTCCTCGCCTCAGCTCACAAGTTCCTCGAAGCGGCACTTGGCCCCGCAAAAAGACGTCGATCGACGAGGCCAGCTCAATACAGGATATACAAACAGAATTCGGCTGTTCAGCTGATGGCTCTGAACAAGAATCCTCTAGTCACCCACCCCAGTGCAAAATTGAGAGTGGGCCTTGGTAGTCGAACAACACGGGCCTGAGAGGCTACATGAGACGGCTGGATTTCTGGCCCGTACGGTTGCTTGGGGAACGGCATCGTGAGCAAAGTACTTGCCGCCGAACTGGGCACCAACTCCAAGGTCTTGGCAAATCTGCAACACCTTTGCCTGCGTGAGCTGAGATTCATGCAGGGTTGCTGCATACGCTGCTAGATACTTCTGCCTCCCATTCAAGGTCGCGGAACGCACGGCCCCCATCACTTCCAGAGGTTGGCAGGTCATCATAATACCTTTCCCATGGAAGTGGTTGGTAGCGGCATCGACAGCCACATGCCCCTTCTGTCCCTGCCTGGCGCTTGCAAGCTTGACGGTCTTCAAGCACGTCTCAGCCTCGGAATGTCAGAAACCCACCTCCTTGCAAAACCGACTTCGACCGTCCAAAATTTGCACTTCGCAGCCATTCGAAGCCAAGTTAAGGCAAGCTGCAGAGGTGCCTCCAATGACCAGTGCAACATGGTAGGGCGGGCAAGCGCTGGTGCCCAGAGTCTGCCTGAGACGGCTTTCGCCCATTCGGATTCCCTGTACTTCACGACTCGCTCGCCATCACAGCTCCGAAGACGATCAGAGCCGCACAGCTTCTCGGTGATGAACGCCTCCAACTTCTTTGGGTTCAGCAGCGCCTTCACAAACGTAAGGCATCTTATCGTTGTAAGTGCTCTTCAAGTCTTGAGCCGCCTTCGTTTGCTGGTACAGGTAGGTCTTGTTGGCAGACCCTCCGCCCTTGGCCATGAAAAGAAACCTGAGTGCAGTGTGCGTGCAGTGTGAGGGATGCATCTCGAGCAGGCACAAGGACGGATATCGAACTCGGAGGGCAACTCATAGGATGAGCTCGCGGTCGCAAGAATGTCAATTTGAGCAGGAAGGTTGCACCTCTCTTTTGTGGCTAGCGGCTAGCAACCCTTTCATGGCAAAGCTTACAGTTGACCCAATTTCACTGCTCCATCTTGTCGCAGTCAGTAAATAAGAGAGTGGCTTCGTGTTCTTCTCGGCAAACATCGTTACCGGGGCCATCTGAGAATACCTCAAGTTCCTGCAAGGTGGAAACTCTTCGAAAACAGTTGGCCAGTGCACCTGTAGGATCTTGTAGGAGGTTTAACAGCCCGACGTGGCATCGGTAAGCCACATGCCCCGCACCTTTGCGTGTAAGCATCGTAGACTCCATGGGAGAGCTGCGCTTCATCGTCACCGTCTGTGAACACGTGCATGCCTCGCCTGGGAAGCTTGGAAGCTTGGACACTTTGGAGTTCTGTATGTTTCTGAGTAAAGCGCTTGCCCATAACGATGGCTGTCCCAGTGTCCTGGCAGAGATTGCTGTCGCAAACGGTAGCAGCGCTCACTGCAGGACGTCTCCCAGTCCTGGCAGCCAGGAAGCTGCCCTCCAGAAGCTTTCACTGCATTCCTGGTCTATGACTGATCTTGCTGAAGCCCTTGTCGACTGAGCTGTGCCGGGGAGGGGCCGGCAGGGGATCACACGCAGAAACTCGCCGCCGGTTGTATGGTTCTCCCGCCTTGTGGTGTGGTGTGGGGGTTTTGGGGTCTGGTTGGAGTGGCTCTTCTCCCCCCCGTGGTTCGCCGTTTGGGTCCCCGGAAACTGTTTGGCACACAACCGAGACGATACCAAACAGCAGCAGGATTGAACTTGTACATCCTTTGCACTGACAGGGCCGGTCCTATTTGGACAGAAACGTCCTAGAATCAAACTTGTCGGAGGTGCTGAAGCAAATTGTGGGCGGTGAAGCGGTCGTTCTCTGACGCCTGCCGCTCTGAAATCAACAGGCACTTGTATGGGCCTTGCGTCAAGCCTTGCGCATGAGCTGCGCATGAGATGGAGTGATCAAGTCTTCGACCCTGCCAAAGCCTCTGGATCCGTCAGAATCTTTCCCAGCTGCGCAAGGTGCCCCGGTCGAAGAAAATGGCCTGGCGAGTTTATAACGCTCTGTAGTCGCGTTTGCTCGGCGTGGCTGGTTTTCGGCAGCCCCAACTCGCAAGGCAACTTTCACAGGCGAGAGGCATGATCATGCACAGCCACGGCTTTGAGAGTGGAGATTTTGTTTTGGCCCTATTCTTTTTAAATTTTTGCATTTTTGTCTGGTGGTTCTCTGTATTTCCACACGAAAACTCTATTCTCGCTATGTTTTCATAGGAAAACGTATATGGACCTATATACATTTTCTCTATATCTTTAGTAGGAAAAAACTCTATGCGCTATATATTGTCTTAGGAAAACCTTAACTTGAGCTGATATCTTCTCGATATTTCATGATGCAAACAAACCTTATACTTTCTAATTTCTAATTTTTCTATGTTTTAAAAGGTACATCTCCATTTTCTCCATGTTTTCGTAGGAAAACCTGTATTTTCTCTTGATTGTCATAGGATGGCCTCTACAGTCAATTTTCATGAGCGGGGGGGGGGGGGGGGGGGGG